GGCTGAGCCACCGTCCCTGTGCGCAGCTGGTGGAGCGGGAGGACTTCGAGGAGGCGGTGAGGGAGGAGGCGGCCGCCGTGGCAGCCCGGCAGGAGACCGACTCCATCCCCCTGGTGGATGACATCCGCTTCCACGTGGCCAGCACGGTGCAGACCTACAGCGCCATCGAGGAGGCCCAGCAGCGGCTGCGGGCGCTCGAGGACCTGCTGGTGTCCATCGGCCTGGACTGCTGAGCCTCGTGGAGCCCAGAGCCCCGGCTGGGGGTGGTGTGCTGGGGGGGGTGCAGCAGCCGTCTCCTTGCACACCTGAGGGCCCTGTCGCTGTGCAGGGATTCCCCTCTCCACGGCCCTGGGTGATGGGGAGGGTGGGGGGAGGGAGCCATGGGGCCCAGGGCTGGGGTGGGCGCTCCGGCCTGTGGTGCCTGCCCCCTGCCACCCCGGCGAGCGGGGTGGGAGGGCCAGGGGTGTCTGTGGTAATAAAGCTTGAATTCACCGTGGGGCTGTCTGTCCAGTGCAGCAGCCAGGCTGCTGGGGTCAGGGCCGCTGGGTGGACGCCCGAGCCGCCACTCGCCAAAGCCTGCCCCTGCGCGTCAGTCCCACGGAGCCTGCCCCGGTGTGCGCCTGGGCGGGCCGTGCCCTCTGCCATGCCCTTCCTCCGCCAGGGACAGCGGCATGGCGGGGGTGGGGAGGGGGTTCGTGGCCTCGGGGTCCCCCCGGCCCCACCGCTGTCGGCACTGCACACCCCACCCCCACCCCCGCCCTCTTCTAGAACGTTTTGGATCTTATCTTCCCCATCTAGAACATTTTCATTTTTTGTTTCTTTCAGTCGCACGGGGGGGGGGTGGGGGGTGGGGGGAGGTAAAGATGGGGAGGGAGGGGCTGCACCAGGAGCTGGCAGAGGGCATTTGCCTGTCTGGAGCCAGAGAGACGGCTCCCTGGGGGCCTCAGGGCTGGGCTCATCTGCAGGAAGAGGCCAGTGCCACCCTGGTCTGCCGTGCCTCTCCCTACTGGGCTCTGCTCTGCCTCCATTTACCCACCAGTACACTGGCAGTTGAAGGCATAAGGACCACATTGACGCCCGGTGCGGGCTGCCCGGTGGGAGGAGTCGGCAGGCTTGCGTTCTCAAAGCCGAGCGCCTGTTCACGCCTGTAATCCTAGCGACTCAGGAGGCTGAGAGGATCGAGGTTCAAAGTCAGCCTGGGCAGGAGAGTCTGTGAGACTCTTATCTCCAATAAACCGCTCAGAAAACCAGAAGCAGCGCTGTGGCTCAAGTGGTAGAGCGCTCGCCTTGAGCTGAAGAGCTGAGGGACAGCACCCAGGCTGGACTTCAAGCTCTGCAACCAACAAAAAACAATAAACCTTGCTTTGGTGGCCAGAAAGGCCAGACTAGAGGCCTCTGGCCACACCCACTTTGGTGTGCCAAGGTCAGGAAGAGACAGACATTCAGACCTCTGTGGAACAGACTTTTAAGTGACCATGTGGTTAGTGGAACAGCCGGCTAGGACACTGACCAGCCTTCTCGCAGCTTCCATCTCCACTCCAGACCACCGAGGAAGTCAGGGGAAAAAGGGATCGAATGGGGACCGTAGGTGGGAAACACTTCCTGTACGCGGCTGTGGTAGGCAAATAAACCGGAAGGCACAAAGGGCCCTGTCCCCTCAGCTGGCTGGGATTGGACTCGAGGCAATGCTCCCTGGGGCTGGACTGCAGACCCGAGGCCTCGGCGCCGAGCCTCAGGCTGCTCTGGTCACAGCCAGGCCCGTGGCCATGACCTCTCAGGGTAGAGGCCCAGTGCCCTGGGCTTTAGCCACCAGCTTCCCTGGCTCGTGACTGCTCTGGCAAAGCCTCAGCACGCTGCATGGCCAGAAGTCCAGCTCCCCCACCAAGGCCGCACTGACCTTGCCTTCAGCCTCAGCTGATCTGGCTCTACATTTCTGTGGTTCTCTTTTGGTTGTCCGTCGTGGGCTTGAACTCTGGGCCTGTCCCTCAGCTCTTCAGCTCAAGGCGAGCGCTCTGCCACTTGAGCTACAGCGCCACTTCCGGTTTTCTAGTGGTTTATTGGAGATAGGAGTCTCTCGGACTTTCCTGCCCGGGCTGGCTTTGAACCGCGATCCTCAGATCTCAGCCTCCTGAGTAGCCACCGGTGCCCGGCTTCCTCATCAGTTTTGGGGTTCTTCCGTGCTGCCACTTTCCCAGGCTGAGTCCAGTAAAGATACACTGCAGAAGGAGCAGCCAGCTTCTACAGCCAGAGAGGGCGTGGCTGGGGCATTCCACCAATCACAGCAGCCCTTCATGTAAATTAGGGCTGTGTTTGCACCAATCACAGCACTCTGTTGGGCCACGGAGGTAGTGCGCCCCCTCTGGCCCGGTGAGAATTGCAGTTGGGTCATGGAGAGTTGGCGGAGGCTGGTCTTGCTTAGCTGGGGCTTCTGGGCCCACACAACTGGAGCTTGTCTTCAGCTGTGCTGTGATTCTCTGCAGAGGGACGGTGAGGCGTCCAAGACAGCCACTTGCCACTGAGGGGACTGCTGGGGCAGCCCCCGCCCACGGCTGCCGTACTCCAGTGTTAATGGACGGCAGAAAGCATCACTTTTGCTGCTCAGCATTACTTATGCCTGGACATGAATTTTTGGATTTCTCTAATTCTGTGAGTAGTGACAATGGAGTTTTGGTAAGTTAGCACTGCATCTAGACTGCTTTCGGCAGTATGGCCATAACGATATGGATTCTGCCAATCCCCGAGTGTGGGAGGTCTTTCCATGTTCTGGTGTTTTTTCACCTGTTTTTTATCCTTCAAGGTTTTCTAGTTTTCAATGTAGAGGTTTCTTATGTTGGCTAATGCTTAGGTATGAGATGGTTTCAGGAACTACTTGTGAATGTAACTGTATTCCTGATTTCCTGTTGTTAGTATGTAGAAAGGGCATTGAATTTTGAATATTGGTTTTATATCCTGCTGTCTTTCCAAATGTGTTCATCAGTTCTAGAAGGTTTTATGATGGGTTCTGGAGGATCATGTACAGTACAGAATCATGTCATTAGCAAATACTGATACTTCGATTTCTTCTTTTATCTTTTATTTCCTGCCTCATTTCTCTTGGTTAGGATTTCTAGTACCATACTAAGAGTGGAGAGACTGGATATCTCTATCTGGCTTTGGAATGAGCATAATTTTTTTTTAACTCAGGGCCTGAGCACTGTCCCTAAGCCTCTCTGTGCTTAAGACTAGTGCTCTACCACTTGCCACAGTGCCACTTCTGGCTTTTTCTGTTTATGTGGTACTGAGGAATCAAACCCAGGGCTTCATGCATGTGGGGCAAGCACTCTACCACTGAGCCACCTTCCCAGTCCTGGAATGAGCCTAATTCTTGCCTCATAGTATGAGTGTGGTAGCCTTCCGTTTCTGTTTCATGAGTTTGAAGAGTATTGGTGTTTGTTCTTTTTTGAAGGTCTGGTAGAACTGAGCTGTGGCCCTGGGTTCTTTATTATAAGACTCTTTAGTACTGTTTCTATTTCATTGCTTGTTATAGCTGTTTAAGTGGCTTATATATTCTCGTGGTTCAATTTTGGTGGATCAACTGTACTTAAATTTTTATTCATTTCTTCTAGATTTTCCAGAACTTGCAAGTCAACTAGGTATGGCCTGCTTTATCTAATCTTCATGCGTTGTCATGGAGCTTTGTCAGACCTGTTTTCAACGTTCTTTATTATTTAACTTTTAGATTTAATTATTTTACCATTTGGACAATTGAGCCCTTCGTTTCCAGAATTCTGATTTTTCAGTGTTTCTATCTTTCTGTATTGTCTTTTTTGGTTCATTCAGCTGGCTGTATTCTCATTTGTTCACATCTACTTGTTTACTTCATTCATGTTATCATTGTTTGGCTGAACTCATTATTTGGACTTTCTTCCTCTCCGTTGTCACTTCTTTATTCTGGCATTATTGGTTTTTGAGGAAGACATGTTGTCTTTTTTATGAATTTTGTGATCTCTCGCTGGGATTTATGTGCGGGGTCCGGGATTTGCTGCGATTTGTCTCCTGCACCCTTGTTGGTATTTTCCTGCTGCTTTGTTACGATGAGGTAGGGCTGAGTGGAGAGCTGGCCTCTCGGAAGCCACCTCAGGCAACAGTGGCTGCTGACTGTGAGCGGCTCTGCCTCGGCCCTGGCCCAGCTTCTTGCAGGGATTCAGTCACTGCACCCTCGGCCCTGGCAGTTACTTCTCTCAGGGCAAGGCTACAGTACCAGGGAAGGGCAGGGGCCCGCGGAGGGCTCAGCCGGGAAGAGAGGGAAACCCTGGGCCTGGTCCAGCGCAGCCGCGCACGGATCCCTCCCTGGAGGCTTCCTTGGCCGAGGAGGTTGTGCCGGTGTGCCACTGTCTTCTCTCTCCCTGGTCCCTCCACAGTTCATGTCTGTGATGGCCCCCACCTCCCCTGGCCCCTCCACAGTGCACGTCTGTGACGTCCCCACCCCCCCTGGCCCCTCCACAGTTCACGTCTGTGATGGCCCC